GGGGGGGGGGGGGGGGGGGGGGTCCCTAGCTGGAGCGGACGAGAATGTTAGGCATGTGTTCGCTCTCGGGGACATTTGTATCTATGTGAAGAATAGATCCTAAGTGGGGGTTACGACCATCCGATGACGATCTTGCTTATGACAGCGGATATTAGACACGAAATGAATTAAGTTTGATATACGGGTATATGTAGATCTAGTGTGGAGTAGCACGAGACTATAACTAGTATTGTAGGTCTACTATAATACATCTACTTTTTCATACAGTGCATACATACCCGAACCGTGACCAGCTAAGCTAGATCTTATCCAACAGAGAAGGATTAGCCATGAGACGGTGGCGCATCTGCTGCCACTCCAGCCAAGTGACCCCCTGCACCAAGCAGTCCGCCAGATCGTCCAGCTTGCCGATATCCGGCAAGTTGGCGTGGGCGTGGGCGTGGGCGTGGGCGTGGGCGTGGGCGCCAGTCCGGGTGCCCATGTGTTTGGGGGATTGCCATTTGGAGCGATACGCCTGCACCCACCGCTGTAACTCATGGTCGTCGGCCACGGCCAGAGTGCCGGGACGGTGGGTGGTGGTGGTGGTGGTGGTGGTGGTAGCATTCTGCAGCCAATGCCCCACCAGATCCATCTTCATCTTCTTGACCTCGCGCGCGCTCTTTTTCTTCTTGCGTGTACGCCCTGTAGCTGTAGCTGTAGCTGTAGCTGTAGCAGTTCCGTCCTCAGCTTGAGTCAGCTCCTGCTCCTCCTGCTGCTCCTGCACCGGCCTCCTACCATTCTTACGCTCCCCGTTTCGGTTTTCAGTGACATTCACCTCTCCCTCCACCCCTGATAACCCAGACCCAGACCCAGACCCAGACCCAGACCCAACATCACCACCACCAGAAACCAGCAACGCACCACCAAGTAAACCCCCTCCCTTCCCAAGTCCATCCCCAACTCCAGCATCCCCAACTCCAAGCCCCGAAGCAACCCTCGCGGCCCAAAACCGACTCACCCGCGCCGGCTCCACGCCCCAAGCCCGCGGCACCACCCGCCTCCCCCTCTCCCTCAGACCCCCCCTCTCGCGCCTCAACACCTCCAAAACAGCATACAACACCGCCTCCAACACGCCGACGCGAATCGTCCACTCCTGGACGGCCGCCGACCCCCCGGACCGGAACCGCTGGCGCTCGATCAGCACGTGGGTGGGGCGGTACCGCTCCAGCAGGGTGGTGAGCAGGGTATACGCTTTCGCGGCGTAGAGGGGGGGAGAATACTCCTCCGGTTCGAGGGCGGGGTCTACGTCTACGTCTGCGTCTGCGTCTGCGTCTGCGGGTGGGTGGTTGAGGGTAGTGGTGGGCGGGAAGATGTCGGAGTCGAAGTCGGAGTCGAAGAGGGAGAGGCGGCGCCATGCGGTTAGCGTGATGCTGGGCCTCTCTTCCCTCGGTTCTCGGGATGAGGGAACGGGAATAGAAGAAAGAGGTGGAGATGGCGGCAGGCCGACGAGGAGATGCGCGAAGGCGAGATTGCGGATGCCCATGTCGATGCTGAGGATGCTCATGGTGTCCGTCGTGCCCGGGGCTGGCTCGGGGCCTGGCTCGGCACCATCGACGGCATCACGGCAGCGGGAACGGTACGCGTACTCGCTTCGCGGAAGTTCCGTCTCCAGGCGGCGGATGACCACGGGTTTCGTGCCGCTGGACTTGATCCCGGTGCGCTGGGCGATGCGCTGGAGGTGGGTGGCTTTTAGGGTGGGGAGGTAGGCTGAGAGGATGATTGTTGTTGTTGTGGGAGTGGTGGGAGCGGATCGCAGGAGAGGGATGGTGGTGCGCATTTGGAGATGATGAAGAGATTGACGGGATTTAGTCCATGGATTTTTGGCAGGTAAAATTGGGACTAAATGGGCTTGGCTGGTTGTAGTTGAGGGGATTCTGGTTTGCTAGCTCGTGACTTTGGAAAAGGCACGTGGCAAGGGATGTAGGTCTTGTAAAAGGTATAAATTTATGTATCAAGTGGGGATGGATGGGGTTTCCATACTGGGAAATTCGAAATTCGATGTGGGTCCAAGATCTGGGGTGGCTGACATAATATAGCCAGTGCTGTATACAGATAGTGCTGACTGCAAGTCGGAAGAGATGCTAAACACGGCATGAACAGAAGAAATCCTATTATGCATATTTTACCCTCGACAGCATGCCCACCATCCAAGCCGTCAAGTCAAGATCTTATTAGTAGGTGCTTGAGTAATTGCCCCGTAGGTGTTGAAAATGCCCAAATGCAAGATGCCAGTCAAGTCAATCATATCTAAATTCCTTCTGGAACGACCCTGGAACCAAACACCCTGCCATCGCCTCACATCAGAAAAACAAGAGAGCCAAAATTATATATGCGCTGTCTCACCCCTGTCAAACGCCAGAACCAGAACAAACCGATGCAATCCGCGCTGAAGAACTGCATGAAACTGACCCAACGCCACCCGTGTGTCACAAACAAGAGAAGATATTTTAGAAAAGAATTCATCCGGAGGCAGCCCGCGTGATCATAGAGTCGCGGAACGTGCCACGTCATAGCCCTCGTTCGACGGGATAATCGCCACGTCAGTCGGTGACACGCTCTCGCGCACATACAGAATCGGCGCCCACACCCGCCAGTGTAGCACCCCCATATGCGCCAGCCGCATCGAGATGCGCTCGACGTCATAGTGCTGGGGATGGCCCAGCATGGCGGTCGCCGTGTGGGGGAAATTGCGCTGCGACTCGCAGATCGCCAGCGGCGACATGTTCAGGTACTTCTTCGCCGCCGCGAACGACGCCGCCAGCAACTTCTCGCGCAGCGAGGCCTGGAAGTACTGGAACAGCCCCGATTCGTTCGACAGGTGCCACTCCAGCGCGCTTTCGATCTGCGTGATCACCTCGTCCGAGACCGTGTTGCCCTCGCTGCAGCAGGCGGCACACGCGAACCGAGCGATCTCCAGCCCGATGCACCGCACGTTCTGCACCCACTGCACCGACCCCCGCAGGCAGTCCTCGTTCTCCTCCATCAACGATCCAATGCGTGACCGGAAGGTGGCGTATGTCTGGGCGGGGGCCGACAGGTAGCGTTTCTGCGTATGGATGTAGGACTCGAAGATGAACCAGCAGATGTCCAGGTTGATCAGGTTCTGAAGACAGGTCCGGAGCTGCCACAAGCGGTCCGAGTCGAACACAAAGGTTTCCGGAAAGGCGTCCGGGGGGTGAAACTGGAGTAACAAGTCGGACACTCCCTGAAACAGCACCGAAATCGGCCAGAATCCGTCCGTCTGTGCGGCCTTGTCCATCTGTCGCAATTCCCGCTCCCGGGTCTCCAGATACCAAAGTCGCGACGAGTCGACCCGGAAGTTATCCCTCTCAATCTTGCCCCGGAAATACTCCTGCAGAAACGGAACAGTGTCCTCAACCAGCAGCACCCGAAAGGCGCGGATCTGGTGGTTCGCAACGTCCTAAGGCAAGCAGAATCAGTTCCCATTTCTCTCTTTCGCGGCGGCAAAAACCACCCTGCGCGTGAACCGACGCCTTACCAATTTCATGGCCTCCAGGATCGCGAACAACGTCTGGAGGCCGCCGACAATCTCCATCGGATTCTGCGACTGCGACCCGGACCGGATCTGCTCCACCATTCGATCCGCCCATTCATCCCGCATCGGGGCGCAATGCGTCTTGAGCAGCCCTGCCAGCCAGGCGGCCACCCGGACCATATCCAGCACCCCCTTCTGGATCTGCTGCATGAGTAGCGGCACCTCGAGGTTCTGCACCACCCCGGGATGATCGCGTTCGGGCACCAGCGTCTTCAACACATCCTGCAAGGTGTCGAACATGGCAGGGAGTCGGGGCTCGAAGGCCTGTCGCTGGTGAGTCCGCGCATCCGCGGCTAGGCCGGCAGCTTCGGGCGACGAGTAGAACGCGTAGATCGAAATCTCCACGGCCATGGCCTCCCAGTAATCCGCCGCCTCTTTCCGCTTCCGCCTCCCCTTCTCCCCGTCGAGGTCGGGCTTGAAATGGAGGTCCCGGTCGAAGTTCGCATCCATGCGCAGGTTGATGTTGCTCATGATGCATGGGAGATCCAGCTCACTCAGCGTGCTTTTCGTTACTGGGGGATAGCGCTTGGCGGTCAGCAGCAGCCTATGTTCCTCGGAACGAAGCCCAACCGCGGGCGGAATGTCAAGGGTCTTCGACGATGAAGATGATGGTCTGGCTGGCGCTAGGAGCGCTGTTGCAGGCGGAGACTGCGAAGCATCTTCGCAGTAAGTAGAACTGCCCGGCTGCCGTTGTTGGCGCGCGTCCGCGGGATCAGGACGTTCGTTCGTATCGCGATGGTCTAGCGAATCGTTCTTGGGCGACTCTTTCGTATGGCCGCTTCCTCCATAGGCTTCCAACGGACAGTCGGCGCTTCCCTCCTGCTTGCCCGGCGTATCCCGGCGGGCCTCCTTCGTTTTTTGAAGGTCCATCTCCATCCGATCCCGCTAGTGCCCGAGCAGATAATGGTGAGGTAGTAGGGTTGAGAGAGGAAAGGGTGATGGCTGGAGGTTGGTGGTTGAGGCGTGGCAGGAGAGTAGTAAACTGGTCCAAGTGCCAAGTGGGAAATTTGACGATATGTGGCTGCACCTAGATCGTGGGACAAACGGGCATTTCCTTGGTGATAGACGCAAGGCACCGTAGCCCTATACTAGACCACGACAACGACGGTGTGGGGGGGGGGGAAGGTTCGATTGTGATCCCTTTCCAGCAACCCTTCTGTCAGTCCTTGCCTGGGGTCGACAGGGTTTCAAGGCGAGGGAGGGGAAAATAGTGCGCACCTGATCTTGGTCAACGACGTCGATCGCTGGTGTCGATCATTAAATGGGAAGTTTGTTGTGGTGGTGGTGGTTGTAGTTGAAGATTGGTTGAATAAGTGTGGTAGGTATGGACTGACGATATAGAAATCGGCCAGTTGTAGTTGTTGTGTAGCAAATGTGCCCCCCTCCCTTTTTCTGCCTTTTTATATATCGTATAGATCTCTTGTGGTGTTTGTTGTGACGTGACAAGCCTTTTGATCTTCAAGTCTTAGTAGACGACACCAATGTCACACCCAGCACAAGATGTGAAGCTGTATATGTTGAAGCAGAAAGGGAGACAACAAGGTCAATCAAATGGCTACGCGACAACCATGAAGGGAATGCCGAAGGGGAAGAGCAAACAGATGCGGACAGGAAGAAAGGCGACAGCAACGAGATCAGAGGAACAAAGAGACCGGGATATTCAATGTTTCTGATAACCCACCCCAATGGCAGCAACAAAGCATGCGGGTTTCAGTAGATCCAGCGGTTGAAGTCTCCGAAGAGTAACCCTGCACTACCGTACACAGGGGGAGGGGAGGGAAAAAGGTCAGTGTCAACTAAGAGGGGGAGAAGGGGAGAGAAAAAAAATAAAAGGAAAAACACCAGCCAAGGGAACTACAGCGATACCAGAGATGAAGAGAAAGAATAAAAAAAAACCAGCGAGAAAAGGAATGGGCAGTGATCAATGGAAAGACAAGATCAGTCCTGCACTACCGCATTGCAAGAGACTAACTAAACCGTATAAACTGACTGGTCAGAGCGAAAGAGTGAGAGAGAGAGAGAGAGAGGAAGAGAGAGAGGGAAAAAATGAGAGGGAGGAGAGGCAAGTGAGCCTTTTGCAGGGGCACTGGAAAAAGTGAGGCTGATCTAATCTAGACGCTTGCAGCAACTACGAACTTTCCGGTTTCTGTTTTGGCTCTGCGAACCACCTGGAGACCAGCTGGGAACGGGCACGGAAGCTGCGCTGAAAGGAGAGGGAACTATAACTTCAATTCTCCATCAACAATCCTTCATCACATAGCGGATGACGTGGGATGCTTGAAGAGAAGAAGAGAAGAAACGCTGAAGTAAAGAAAGATGAAGAAGTGAGTAAGTACTAGTAGGTTAACTTAACGAGGATTGCCCTTCTTCAAGCCTGGCCCGATGGTTAGTTCAAGGTGGTGTCGGGAAGAAAGGATCAATCAATCAATCAATCAATCAATCAATCATTCATTCATTCATTCATTCATTCATTCATTCATTCATTCATTCATTCATTCATTCATTCATTCATTCATTAATCACTGCGCAAGGATTGAGAAAGTGGAAGGCGAAAAGACCAGAGGCAAAGGGAAAGGGAAAGAAAGTCAATTATTCCCGCGGCGATAATCCCTGACTCCACCCCAGCAGCAGCAGCAGCAGCAGCAGCAGCAGCATTCCTCACAACCAGGGCAGGGCACGGTATCGTGTGCGATCTCAGGCCTCGGGCGTGTGCCGGTTTCAATGCTGCTACCCGGCACCGTGGAAAAGGCCTGGAGTTCCCAAATGTGATAGGGAGTCCGCTCCCCATAACTGGTTCAAATTGGTTCAACTGGTTAACTAACCCATGCAGAAACGCCACCAGTCAATTGAATTCTATCTGGGTGGGATGGAGCAATAGATTCGGGGAGGAACCAAAACACATCCAAAGGTATTGTTAGGAGGGATAGTCTCCGGTGATACTTCGATAGGAGGGCAATTCGGTGTATTCCCGCTGAATCATGGCAATGTGCAAAGCAAATGGATGCAGCCTGCCGTTGACTGTGTTCGGATGGATCTAAGACCGAATCCATCTAATTCCGAGCTCTTGTGAAGGGTTTCTGTTTTTTTTTTTGTTTTGTTCCAGTATGGTTTTTTTTGTTTACAGATTATTTATTAGTAGTTAGTTATGTGATGAACAGGAGACTGTCTCTGCACAGAGTAAGAAAAGATCCCAAGCAGGGGATGGCCGGACATTCCATACGGAAAACTATAACTAACAACCGGCAAGTATGAGTGAGTGAGTAGTACTCCGTACCATAGTTGGATCTTTAGACTTCTTCCGCATGCAGGTTGGGTGATTTCTGTCATCCACTCTCTAGACATATGTGTAATTTGGCCGACAAGATCTGTGTGGGATGAGTATCTGGAAGTAGTGGGTGATTGTTTTTCGTTTCCCTATTCCCTATCCCAGGGCGCCGAACGGCAGGCACCATGCAGCATGGGATCTCGATAGATCACGGAGCATCAGCACCCATTAAGTTAGCATCATGCCATCCATCAGCTTGCTTGCTTGCTTGGCCCTCGTGTGCACTGATTAGTACCATAGGTACGGAGTACTCAGTACTCATCCAAGACTTTTCGGCAACTCTGCATCTCTTCTCTGTCATGCAAACCTAGATGAGACCGGCCGATTGGTCCCAATCTCATAGTCGGGCGTCAAACCCATTATTCTTCTACTAAGTTAACTATCGCATGGCGGATTAGCGATGGGGCGGTTCCGCTTTTTGCCCACCGACACTTTCGGGACTGCAGTCGAGTCTGGGTTGTTGACCGCCGGCGGGAACTCTTCTTGCGCTACAGAAGCCCCTTTTCACTTCACAGGCGCCCGCGACCGTGTTTAATTTCCTCCCGTTGGCTCCTCCCTTGGGTTGGGGTGGGACATGGGGACAGCCCCGATCTATCCACCCTAGCAGATTGATATGTAGATTGACGTCGATGTTCATTATTGATAACCCAACAGTCCCCGTCGGGGTGGATCACACGCGTGGTAGCATCGGTAAGTCAACCCGAGTCAGCAATGGCTTGTAACTTATAGTACCGTAGTTCTTCCCCGGTTTGGGTCTATGTTTCCCAGCAGGAATCTGATGCTCAAGGTTCTGGTCGGATGGCCCCGGCAAGTCAATCTACTACTCCGTATCGAGAAACTATCCAGTTCTTGCTAAGGGGTGGGATAATTCATTGGATCCGCAGCACTTGCAGTTGGAGTCGCTTTATAGAAGGCGCTGTACGAGTCGTAAGTAATGATTGCCGACAAGAACGAATAACAGACGGCAGACGGCGAAAACGTCATGCGAATAATGTGTCTGGGCCATTCGAGCCTTTCCTCTGCGAATAAAGGGGCGAGAAAATTCTGTGGTTGATGCTGGCTTAGCGCCTCACTTTTGTTGCGCACTGGTCACAACAATTAGATACTCCACGCGTGGCCGCCTCATTATCCCGGGTCAGGACGGCGAGGTGGCAATTGGGGAGGGGGAGAGAAGCCAAGCCCGTTGGCAAGGCAAGCCATAAGAGAAGCGGTGTTAGGATAGACCCCGGTTTCTGCTCCCCAAGGCTGCAGGGTAGAGTTGAGAGTCGAGACGTTGCGCGAGTCTGGAGCCATTATTGGCTCCGCGTTGCGCTGTTGCAGGCGGGGCGGGGGGGGTACGGAGTCCGTACTAGAACTTCCTCCGGCCTGTCAGGCCAGGGCGGACAGATAATATGGAGTGATGATGAACCTTTTATCGACATATATGTCTACTGCGACTTCTTGAAACTCCGCTGCACATTGCTTGCCTGATTGATGCTTTCACCGGCCGAGCCTACTAGGTAGGCAATGAAGCGGAATGGAACCTTGAAGATGAGGATGATAGCCTCTTTGGGAAGCCAGGGCCGATCCCGTGACCGCATGCCTGGCCCTAAATCAGGTGATTCGCTATACTCCATCAAAGCTACTTAGTAGTAGACAATGAGGTAGGACAAAGCCACTGAAATCATAATGGACTACTTATGTCATTCTCAGAGTGTAATCTGTACCAGTATCAGCTCGGACACGCAAAGTCGGCGCCACTCCGTGACTCTTTGTAGAGTTCAATAAGCTCAAGCTTATTGAGAGCAATATCGGGATAATCATTATAAGTATGGCGACTCACAACAGTGTTTGTAATATAACGGAGATGGAGTCAAGCAGTCGCTACGACAGTGCTTGTAGTGCAGTGAGGAGTGAAGAGAAGATGAGAAAATGAGAAAATGAATCTGGTCGCTGTCTACGCCTTGATCCGTATGCTTTGGGCATTCCTGCCTCCGAGTCGGCTGGACGTCTCCCAATTCGAGGTTCATTCCTTGCCAGGCGTCCCTTCTTCTGCTCTTCCTACCAGCTGGGCCGGTCGGATTCCTGTTCCTGAGACCGAACCCGGCAACTCGTTGTTCTTCTGGCTCTTCCAGGCCGAACACCCTGCGCATGATGATAACCTTATCAGTTGGTCTCTCTCTGCAGATCCAGCCGCAATAGCTAATCAGACATCGGCTAGTATGGTTCAATGGCGGGCCTGGATGCTCGTCTCTGATCGGACTGCTATCGGGCAATGGGCCATTGACCTTCGTTGGCAATTCTACCGAGCTCGAGCGCAATCCCCACTCCTGGACGCAGCTGGGACATGTTCTGTACATCGACCAACCCGTAGGGACGGGATTGTCCACGGCGAGTGAGCCCTATCCACTGTCCGACAACGAGGGAGTGACTTCCTACCTTTACGCATGGCTACAGTCTTTCTTCACCCACTTCCCTCAGCTCAGGTCCAAGCAGATCCACCTGATGGGCGAATCCTACGCCGGTATATACATCCCCTACCTTGCCTCAGCCGTTGTGCACCACCAGGCCTCCTTTACGCTCCATCTACGCTCCATCTCCCTCGGGGATGCGACATTTGGCAATTCCATCGCCATGTCCACCATCCCCACCGTAGCATACATGCGCTCCCAGCAATCGCGCCTACAAATTCTACCCGAGATCCTCGACGCGTTCATTGAAGGCGATTCCGTCTGCGGATTTGACCAAGTCCTCCACCAAGCCGCACAATATCCGCCTAAGGGACCCATCCCCATCCCCGACGAGGCAGAGGACGATAACGAGACACCAGACCAGCAGCAAACATGCAGCAGTGACACCGCAGCAGCAGCAGCAGCAGCAGCAATGCAACCCCCTCTGACCACCCCCGAAGAAATCCTCTCCTCCATTCTGAACTCCACCACCGGCGACGGATCTTGCGCCACATTCTCCACAGCATCACGATACCTCTCCACCACCGCGCAGAACCACCATCAGTGTTTCGACGTGTACGACATCACCAACAACTGTACCACCCTCAACCCACTGCCCCTACTATCTTCATATTTCAGCCGACCCGACGTCCAAGTTGCACTGAACTTGCTCCCTCCGTCTCCTTCCTCACCTGTATCTTCCCAACCTTCATCATCAACATCATCCTCATCTCAATCCTCGCATCTTCCATCCCCGGCAAACAGTCGCAATTCCAATCCGACCACCTCAGAGACCAAAAAGCAATCTCCTCCCCCGTCTCCTTCTTCTTCCTCTTCCTCCTCCATCATCCCCACCACCACCACTTCCCGCGCACAAACCTATCTCCCCTGCAACGACACCATCCGCACTCTGGTCCTCAAAGACGGCCAACTGCCCCAACCGCCGGCGGACACCATCCTCCCCGACCTCATCACCACCCACCACATCGCCCTCCACGTCTACGCTGGCGACAGCGACTTCCTCCTCAACCACTATGGCATCGAACTGGCTCTGCAGAATATGACCTGGCACGGCGGCCAGGGGTTCTCGCGCCCGTTCACCGGTAATTATTTCCATGTAGACGATGCGGGCTTCCTGCGTCATACAAACCACTCCTCCTCCTTGTCCTCTGATACCACCTGCCCTGCAGATACCAGTAGCTGCGATGACCCCTTATCACCACCACCACCACCGGTGACAGCGGGTCTCTGGACCTCCTCGCGAGGGGTCACCTACCATCTCTTCTGGGGCGCAGGCCATGCGGTGTTTGCTAAGAAGCCCCGGGAAATGTTGGCTTTTGTGCGGGATGTGGTTCTGGACTCTTCGCAATGGGATTGACATGATCGCAGTAAAGATATATATCAATGTGTACATGTAAAGGAAAGACAAAATCACCCAAATCGCTAATTGCTGCAGTCGAAGGGGATTGGCAAATCGACAGGAATTCACTTATTGAAAAGTCTAGATTGACAAGGGAACGATCATCTCTGTACCGTAGATGTATGAGAATTCTGTAGGTCAGTGCGTGGATGTCTTGCACATCCACGAATCTTTCTCCTGGGGGAGGGGGGGAGGAAGCCTGCATGATGCATGCAATGCAGTAGGGGCGAAGTGTTGGGAGGAATACAGCAGAGCCCCCTAAAAAAACAAAAAACAACAAGAAGCACACACAATTCACAAAAACCAACCCCACGGTTTGGAAAAGGGGGGTTATTGAATTTTAGGTTTGCAAAGTGATTGCTGCACCAACAGCAAGAAAGTTTCACGTTTTCGATGCAATTTGTCATGTTATGCGAGGGAAAAAGAGGTGCCCTTTCCCTTGCCTTCGAAAAGTTGTGGTGGTATCTATGATGTTTTTTTCTTTAATTGGTGCCCCCCTCTCTATCAGTAGGTAGGAATCACAAGGGGTAAAAAAACAAATACATGATGGGTTTCATTTCGCCTTGATCTTCATAATGCATAGTCAAAAACAAAAAGGATAGAGCACGCTATGCAAAGTCCTTTCCCAGTAGAAGTTGAACGCTGGAAAAGCCGTACGCCGCCTGTTTTGGAGTCCCGAGTCGATGTGCCCCCGTATTCCTGGTGTCTGTGTAGAAGAACATTCAAATATGCGACACAAATAGGGTTACAAAGGATGTCTGGAAGATCGTGGAAAGCATGTAAGAGTAAGAAGAGGTGATACTGCACATTGAATCATGTCGTAATTGTTCACTGAGCCATAAATAACGCAAGTTTGTGGCCACGTGAAACCAGCTGTCAAAGCATCGGTTTATCGCAGTGGATACGAAGACCGGAGAAAGTTGATGATGAAGACTCCTGTTCAGCGACGGGCGAAAAATGGGGCTTGGTTAGGCATCGAGAGCAAAGAGTCGGCTCTTTGGAAGACATCCCCTTCGAAAAACTTGTCGCTGTATGCACTGGCAGGGGTAGAGGGAACGGTCGCCTGCGCAGCGGGACCGAGTGCGGCACTTAGAGGTGTTGCAGGAAGATGGACCGATGGCGATAAATTAGGGCCATGATGAAATGTGTTCGTCGTCGATACCGAGGTCTGGTGCTGAGAATGATGAGCCTGCAAAGGAGGACCGTATATGTTAGGAGTTGGATTGCTGGGGTTATCTGCAAGAAAAGACCAGGGCGACGCATCGATCATACGTCCGGCTTCTCTGCTCGACCTCTGGATGGGACGAAGCATGTTAACAATGTCGTTGGGGAGAATTTTCATATTTCGAACCTCCTTCATGTCAATGACAAGGTCTACGAAAGACTGCAAAAATGCCTTGCAGTGTTGCCAGAACTCGCGCGTGTTCCGGGTTCCACCACCAGGCTCCTTCACCTTCATGTTGGACAGCCTTGAGCCTAAGCCCTCTGAGACATCCAGACACACCTGACAGCGGTGGATGAGATTTTTCCAAAGCATGACGATACCCTCTGACTTCCGCGTTTGCTCAGCTAGTTCGAGACATCGCACCAGTTGAGCAAATGCCACAGGCAATCCCTGGAGAGCAGCGCTACATGCCGAGTTGAGCTGACCGAAGATTCTCTCGAAAATGCGCTCTTCTTCGATCTCATCTAGTCCAGTCATCGGACTGATTCGAGGTATAACAGAGCTAGGGATCGCAGGGAATGACTCGCCCGAGCGAGGGGTTGCCAGTGATGACGGTATGGAAGTATTGATGTGGTTGGATCTGCTACTGGACCGACTCCGTGTGGCGAGACTGAATGGCGTCGGGGCAAACCCTGGTGAACTGACGGCAGACTGGTATTGCGATGCTGCGTGGAAAGGACCATTCATAACAATCTGAGGGTACTGGATTGTTGTGTCACTTCGGTAGCGTCGTGTCGAAAACGACTGGTCTCTTCCCCTTGTTGGTGTCACGGTTGGCCCCAGAAACCGGTCCGGACCTGCGGACTCCCTAATTTCTGGAACAGGCAATTTCGCAGCTGGTTTGAGGCCCTTTTCGATGGGCACTCCAAGATGTGCACACGCATTGCGCAATTCAACCATGCTACCGAATATCATGAGAATCAGAGAACGCACATAGCACGACTCGCCGTTCGTGACTATTTTGTCAATACTGTTTCGTAACTGTGTGCCGACGTGTGTGTAGGCGATAATGCATGTCTCACATTCTCGCTTGACAGCCTCGTTGGCCAACCGTGCCACGTCGGCTTCCTCAAATTGAGAGTGTTCTGCGTTCTCGATAGCCTCGTTGAGGCGATCGACATGAGTAGAAGCATTGTAAAAGACAATCTCGAGGCTATTTCGACGGGCGTCTTCACGCTTGATGACGCTTATCAAGGACGTGACATTGGATTGAATCTGGAAGAGAGCGAATAGAATGCACTTTGCGCTTGCGATAATGGGCTCGGCTGTCACTTTCTCTGCCTTTTGTTCCGGTAAACTCGACATTCGATTCACAAACCCGTCCTTCAAGCGCCTGCGCTCCCTTGGGCTGCTGGGACTGGAAGAATTGCTGCTAGATAGGGCGCCAGATGGCCTGGTACGAAGAATCGAGCCGTAGCTCAAGCCTCGCAGATGGCTATTCCGATAGGGACGTGTCTCGTCGAGAGTTCCAAGGTCTGTGTTCTTCCGAATGACTCCCATCCGCTTGTTGCGCGCTGCGAGAGAGGCTTGGATAATGCCTTCGCTGTTGCTTCGATTGCGCTCATTGTACGCACCATAGGGTTTCGCCCCTGGACGCTGTAGTACGGCACCGTGGAAGGCAGGGTTGTGCCCCGAAGCGATGCGATAGTGGGACTTCATTGGAATTGGCGGTGGTCGACCTAACGAGGGTGACTTGGGGTCGGAGGCACTGTCGCCAGTACTGGGAATCACAGGGAATCGACTGCTCATTCCACGCTTAAGAGGTTTGGGAGTATCAAGCATGCCCTCGCTAAAAGCCCTGCGATATCAGTTTCAGTGCTGCGGAGTGGAGACAAGAGGACATACCTCGGGTCATATTTCTCAATTTCCAAGGGCGCAACAGGCTGTTTTGTCTTCAAGAATCTTTTAAGCTCAGCGGTTACTGCCACCTCCTTCTCGTTGTCAGTCAAGCTCGAGGGGGCAAATTCTGTTTCAGAGCTTTCGAGGAGTCGTCGTAGGGGGTATCGTAAGGGGTTGCCAGCAACTTTGAGGATTTGAAGCTTGTTCATGTCGGAGATCCCGAGTGGTAAGTCGTCGAGGCGGTTTTGCATTACCGAAAGAACCCTAAGAGAGGAGAGCTTTTTGATCTCTTCCGGAAGGTGGCTGATTTTGTTGCGACTGATGTCTAGAATTTCGAGAAGCGGCAGCTTATAGACCTAAAACCATTGTTAGAGTCCATAGCAGAAGAGGCTCATTTGAGGTGCCCGGAACGTACTCCTTTGGGAAATTCACGGAAACTGTTTGCCCGGATGTTGAGATATCGTAGATGACGACACTCTGCGAATCGATAGGGTATGTGAACCAACTGGTTATTGGATAGCGAGAGTCTGCTAGTTGTCAGCGTGTCCGGGCACGCAGGTGACGTCTTTCGCAGCAGGAAGGTGAAAGGAAACATACCGCTCAACTTCGTCCTTGATGGTATCCACGACTGACTCAGGAATACGAGAAATGTTGGAGTGACCCAAGTCGATTGTTAACTTCGGCTTCACTACATCGGTGACTGCTTCACTTCCAGCAAGCGAGCGTTTTGTTTCTTGGATTCCATTCTCAACCGCCCGGCGGGCCAGCTCGATTGTCTCCTCGGTTGTTAACAAGCGGGGTCCTGGTGGATGTTTGCCTGTAGTGCCATTGCCGTCGCCTGCGGTTCCACTGACAAGTGTTACCTCATCCTCACTTTTAGCCGGTGCATCAATTCTGGAGGCAGGCACCAATGCAGCAGGCACCAACGAGGCTGGTACGAGCGAGACCGGTAGGCTCTGTTCCAAAGATTGTCTGCCATTGTCGTCATTGTCCACGTCGCCACGGTAGGCGAAGGGCATCCTGATGGTATCTTCCGGGCGCACCATTGTCGACAACATAGTGGACGATGTACGGAGTAAGAGGGTCTATGCGATCGGCCTGGCGCTGGCAATTTTCGTGATTGATGGTTCGGAATTCGAACATGCACTCAGATAGCCAAGATGTCTCCGGGATGTGTTCTGTGGCCTGCACGAAGCATGATCGATGTATAATCAAACTGAGTAAGGTGTCGTAAGAAGAAAGGATAAGTATGAGGGTATAAAGGAGGCGACAGTGCGTGCAGTTGGCGTGAGGCGCGCAGCCAGGCCCGGGCGGCACTCGTTAGGCTTCAAACGGACGAGAACTTGCTCGAATCCGAACAACACGAGAATCACGAGAAGGGAGGATTTCAAGAAGAGTCCTGATAGTAATTCAAGAAGTGAGAAGAGTAGATTGTAAGCCAGTACAAAATTTAGATAGGACGATAGATGTTGGTCCGAGAGGTCAACGGAAGTCGAGAAGAACGGGCGGCGTGACGGGTGTGAGTGAGTGAGAGGGAGCGAGGGAGGGAGCGAGGGAGGGAGCGAGAGAGACTTGAAACGCGGAGAAAAAGGTTGCAGCTGTCAGAAGAAAGCCACAGCTAAATCAACTGACTGCAATAGCAGTAGATAACCTTTTTATTTTTCTTTTCTCTGATCAGCTCAGTGATGCGATTAATTCAGCGAGTTGATTGATTGACATGGGAATGAAGGAGGTGAGGTATAGTAGTTGTAGTTGTAGTTGTAGTTTGCAGAATAGAAAGACAGACCCTCCGGGCGATAAGTCGACTGGTGGTTGATTGGCCCCTGGAGCGTGCCCGGTAGCCACACCTGAAACACCCGTGACTGCTATTGTTTGATCTTTTTGATGTACTCCGTACTGTAGCCGCCATGACAGAGAAAGAACAAAATCTGAAGCATGAAGGGGAAACATCAAAAGAATATCAAGTAAACAAAGTAAACAATTGATCGGACAGTAAATAGATAATGTGAGAAGGGGGAAGAAAAAAAATGAGATTGAATGCAATAACAAAAGAAGTATAAAACTTTATATAACAGTACAAGCAAATTAAACCCCCCCCAAAGATCTCAACAGTCCCGTAGTGTACATGAAAATATCCCAATAATTTCTCTCCCCTCCTTACCCGATTCCAATACATCTCTACTGACTCCTCTACTCAAGCGCGCTTTCATCCGCAGGATCTTCTTCTCCTACGCTCACGGAGTCCTCATTGTCTGGTACTACAGGACCGGCCATTGCTGCGTGTTTCGCGTCCAGGATCTGAGCTTCATCCCTGGCCCAGACCTTCCAGCGCTCAAACTCTTGGTTCTCGAGTTTCATACCAACCTCCAGCTGCGTAGGTCCAAAGACAGCACCAGTAGCTTCGGCTTCCTCTGCCGCAACTCGGCGTTCGATATCCTCACGCAGACGGAGTTGATAGAATTCGCGACGAGCAATGTCGTAAGCGGCGCTTTTGGTCATGCCGAAAACATTGTTCAGAAGCCAGAGTTGGCGCTGAACGACACTATACACGCAGGCAGATGATGCTTAGCATGGCAACGGGGGCAAGACGCGTAGAAAACAGCCGTGGTTAAGTGTGGTAGCATACCTCTCACCATCCAACCTCTTTCCTGGCTGCTGGAGCCGGCTCCAGTCGTGGTTGACCCAGTCCTTGCCGGTGGTTTCGAGGATCACTCGGGGCCTAGCCAATTCCCAAGGATGGTCCTTGAAGAATTCTTTGCGCAGCTGATCCTCCTCGTATTTGATCTCGGTGGGTAGAAACATGCGGCTCGCCTTCTTCGGCTTCGTCTTCTTTTCTTGAACTTCTAGAGCGTAGCGCTTCGCCATATTACCGTCGCTAAGTCTGACCCACTTGTGGCGCTGGCGGATCAATTGATGTTGGTGTGCTTGATTTCGGACGAGGACTTGAGCGGGAGGAATATCGCCGATAACATCGGCCCAGATAGGTAATTTTACGATCTGGTTGACCTCCTTCTGGAGCAAGGCTTTTTCGCGCACGCGGAGCGCTGTGAGGTTGTATTTGCCCATTGTGCAATCGGAGAGGGCGGCGGCGGCGGCAGCGGAAGAGGAGGAGGATCTGTCCGGTGAATGTGTGAGAAGGAAGCGGGAGACCGGGGATGAAAAAGACGGTCAGACCTGCTGGCAAGAATGAATCAAAGTGGATTGAACAATCCTCCGTGAAGCCTCAAGAGAGGCGGGGGGAAGCTGGTTATGTTTTGATATTTTGAGGAGGTGGCAGGGCCCAGGCAGATAAAGCCAGGAAATTGAAGTTTGGCGGGAGTCGAGGTGGAAAAAGAGCCATTGGCACTGATTGGCAATGCGCGCCTCCGATTGGCTCCAACCCCGGCTCCGCCTTGGAAACAAATGGCAGAGACTGTGAGTTCGAGTGCAAAGCCCATAATAATAATTTGAACGCGGAGCTCCTCCTCCTCCTCCTCCTCTTCTCCTTCTGACTTGGTTCGAAACTGTTACACTATCAACGAACTCATCCTTTGCCTTCGCCTTCTTCCCCTTCTTTCTCCTCTCCTCTCCTCTCCTCTCTTTCCACTCCTCCCTCCCCTCCCCTCCCCTCTTCACCCCGTCGCATCCCCATACCCATACACCTGCCGCCTGAAATTTCCCAGGAATTGTTGCTCGAGACCTCCTCGGGACATGCATGGCTGATCCAATGCCACGATGTCTGTCATCTCATGCCTCTTTCCACTAGGTTTCCGAGCTCGCCCGATCTGCGGCCTTTCTCGCAGCGATTGGATACGTGCTTGTCCCTCAATTACCCTTTCATGTCAACCTCCGATTCGTTCTCCTACAATGCCTCCGTCAGACGACTTGCTTCCAGACGGCCCCGTCCCACTGCGGCGTCTATAGCCGATGTATTCGTTGGTTCCTTGGTGGTGGCCGGTTACTGCCGCGAACACTCGCCTCGTGGCAGAGCATTTTCGACAATGCCCCAAAAGTCTTCCCGAGGTAATGCGGTCAGCTGGCAGGACCGGCGCTTGAGACAGACCGGGAAAATTCCCTCAACCCGTCCTCTTGATCGTCTGAGCTCGTCACCGGAATGTTTGCATCAGTCAAGGACGCAACGGATGTTCAACTCGGGAATCGCATTGAGGGCGAAGGAAGACAACGATGAAGGCTATGTTTGGGTGAATAGGCCATCGCAGGGCCCTCGCGCGCGACTTCACAGTGCAAATGTTACTGGCAACCGCAATTCCGCTGCATGCGGGGAGGTCAACAGAAGTTCTGGGGAAGAACACGACATTGGGTCTGTCGCAGAGAAGCTATCACCAGAGAGCGAAGCCAACTTTCCCACGCGCAACAACGCAACTACGAATAACACTACGACTCAGATATCGGATGGAAAATGCGAGCCGAAGAAGCACGGCTACAAAGGGAGGACCACACCCACAAAGGCACTACATAAATCTGTCTCATATTTTTACAAAACACTGTTCGAGGATTCACTTGATTGGGAGCAGGCAGCAGATCTAGTCACCAGGGACCGACCTATGGTGAGCCCATCATCGACACGAGCATCACCGGCTAAGGAAGTAATGTCGCACCATGATGAGGAGCTTGATTCGGTTACGAGATTTCAGGACGCCCTGTGGGACGAGAGCAAATCAAATCAGTACATCTTTCGACTCTACAGAGATATTCCTTATCCGGGAGTCGCGCGTCTCTCGAAAGCTTGTCGGGGAGCTCTGCTACGCCGGTTTGCAACCCCGGAGAACCGTCGGTGGGTGGAAGCGCGACGGTTCCTTGCGCTGCTTGACGACATGGTTGTTGCCAAGCTCCCGGTATCCCGTTCTCTATGGACTTCTGCTATTCATCTCGCAGGACGGGCATCGGGCAGAGTATATAAAAGAGATTTAGTAAGGTCGATCGGTCTCTGGCAAAAGATGGAGCATTGGGGCGGAGTCAAGTCAGACGGGGTTGTGTTTACCGTCCTCTTTGACGTTGCCATCAAAGCCGGTCAATTTACCGTTGCCGACCGGCTTGTGGAGGAAATGGAAGAGCGAGGTCTCCAGTTTGGACGCACCGGCAAAGTGTCGAGAATTTATCGTCATGGCCAACAGCATGATGCTATCGGCGTCCGGCAAGCATTCGATGACTTCGCCTCGAGCGGCGAGCTCGTTGACACTGCCGTTATGAACTGCCTGATGGCCTCCTTCATTTCTGCCGGAGATGTGAAAGCAGCGGAAGCCATTTATGGGCAAATGATGATGAACCAGGCTGCGGGCTCCCGCACTCACGCCATTCATGGTAACTTGTCCACCGAGATGAAAACCTACCGAGCAAGATCGAAAAGGCTCAATCGCCTCCTAGAGATCTCCGCCCGCCTCAAAGATCACTTGCCAGATCATTATCGCACGCTTCAAAGAGCGATCGCCATCACCCCCGACACTCGCACATTCCGCATCCTTCTGTCCTTATACGCCCAAAAGACTGGCGACATTGGAGCCCTGATGTCTATCATTACTGACATGGAGAAGGTTTTCGCTGTACCCCCGCGCGGGTTGATATACATGTTCCTTTTCGATGGGTTTGCCCATCATGGGCGGCGAAGAGAAGGGTGGACAGCGGAGAGACTGCGAGTGGCATGGGAGACGTATCTGCGAGCCCTCTATGAATCCAAGTCGCGGTTTGAACAAGAATTTCATCCCCGCCCTCGAAGAAAAAGTCCCACATGGGAGAATCCGTTGCTCGAGTCGTACATCTCACTCGCACAACCCTCGATCCCGCACGCGACAACCGGGCTGTACACCCATTTACCACAGAAAGAGACTCCTATCAAAGTGCAAGAGCCGGGCGTTGGGGAGGTCATGCCTACGGAACCCGATGCAGTTGTCGAGCCCGTTAATGTCTCCAACGGGCCAGCACGCGACGACGAGGCACTTGGTTCCGATGCGTCGGAGGAGGAACTGGAGCGTCAAATCGAGAACGGGGTTTTTCTAGGTCGTCGCATGATTTTGACCATCCTCCGCGCGTTTGGGCGTTGCTACGGACCCCAGGAAGTTATGGAAGTATGGCTTCAAATGGAACGCCTTTGGCAACCCTGGAAGCGTAGGGCGCAGGACGTCATGGCTGTTAAGGAGGAACTGGAGAAGCAGATGAAAAACGTCCGGTGGCGTTGAAGCGATCTGTGATTGTTGTTTTCTTTTCGTTGCCTTTTCGGTGGGCCTTTTCCAAGGTGCTTGTATATTATTATATAGACCTGATAGATAGATATACCCTCAGGTAGAGATTGGTTGCGAACACAGCGATGGATTCAACATTGGCGTGTTCTTGTTCTGCACAGCGGTTTATACGAGCTTGGGTCAGTGGGAGATGTCTGTACCATCATTTAATGAAGAAAAAATAATGAATTCCACCCGAAGTCTGCACTGGCTCCTTCTAAGTTCTTTTTTCTCCATCCTTCCTCATTTCCTGCCTTTTTGTAGGGCAAAACCACTATACCGGATCACGTGGTATCGTGTTCGCTTTCCTTCCTCGAAGACCGCGTCGCGCTTCCGTGAGAACTTCCCAACTCACCTCAATCCCCAAGCTCCCATTCTCCATACTATTTGGGATGCTGCAAATATGGTCAGCGGAGGTCTGCAGCGCCGTAAAGTGGACCTAGACTTCTACCTGCGCCGTGTGTTTCGGAAAAACTCTTTCAGGTACGCGGTGCTAGATCTCTCCTCTCTTTCGCTGATAGATCCGCTAATCTGGGACGAACAGACCACTGCAACGCGATGTGATCACGGCCGCTGTGGAGGGCCACGATGTATTCTTACAAGCCAACACATCGTTTGGAAAGAGCCTGTGCTTCCAACTCCCAGCAGTAACCAGTCATGGAGGTTGGTTGGCCCATCCCAACTCTTCCTGACTGCCACTTTGCTTAACCTGCTTCCGTGATCGTGCACCAAACCTGGTTGGCTGATTTTGGCCCTTTTGCACAGTGACTGTTGTAATATGTCCGCTGCTGGCGCTGATGGTAAGCCTCTCGTGGATTCTGTTGATAGCCACAGTTCCATTTACTCAGGTGGTGGCATGCAGACAGATCAGGTCAAGGCACTACAAGCCATCGGGGTCGCAGTAGCAACGATCAACTCCACCACGCCGATCTCCGAAAGACGAGTCATCCTGGACGACCTGCTCTCCGGCCATCCGAGGACTCGGCTCCTGTATGTGACCCCGGAGCTCTGCCAGACCGAGACCTTCCGGCGGAATCTCCAGACGATCCACTCCCAGGGGGAGCTGATTCGCATCGCCATCGACGAAGCCCATTGCATCAGCGAATGGGGCCATGACTTCCGGTCGGCCTACAAGGAACTCGGCTGGTTTCGACGGGCCCTGTCCAACCCGCCCGTCCCGATCAGTGCTCTAACGGCGACAGCCACCCCGCGGGTCCGCGCCGACATCATCAAGCTCCTGGGCTTGGATCCGCTCCGGCTCCGGATCTTCAACACCCCCTCCGCCCGCCCCAACATCCACTACGAGGTCCGGTACTTGGACGACTTTGCGAGCGATCCGACCGAGCCGGAAGACTTCCAGATCCGGGACTTTGTGGCATGGCTGCAAGCCGTGCAGGCCCGCAGAGAGGCGCGATTGGGCGCCGGGGAGGCTGCGAAGCTCCCCCCGGTGTCCGGGATCATCTACGTGCCCCTCCGGGCTGTCTCGGACAAGCTCGCGAGCGCGCTCTCCCGAGCCTGGGACGGCCGCATCCATGCCGTAGCCTACCACGCCGGTCTCTCGTCGGAGGAGCGAACTCGCATCCAAACCGAATGGACATCGACCCAGCCTGTTTCCCTATCCCGCAGCCGCAGCGACGGGAAGCCGCCCCCGATCCCGCCAGCCTTCTACCTCATCGTCGCAACCACCGCCTTCGGCATGGGCATCGACAGCCCGCACGTGCGGTTCGTTATCCACTGGAGCCCCCCGCGCAGCTTCGAAGGCTTCGTCCAGGAATCCGGGCGCGCTGGTCGCGACGGCCGGGCCGCCGCCTCGATCGTCTACTACAACACCCAGGAACGGGACCGCATCCTCGACCGCCTGCAGCGCGATGTCGAGAATGCCCGCAACCGCACCGGCGGGCCGATCAACAGCGGCAGCGGCAACAACAATCGAACCAACTCGACGGTCCAAAACCAGTTCGCCCGGCTGGCCAGCTTCCAGAAGGTCATCGGCTACTGCGAGACCACCACCCGGTGCCGCCATGAGATGATCAAGGATTTCTTTGGGGACCTCGAGCTCGAGAAG